AATGTGTTTCGGGAAATGTTAATGTGTTTCGGGAAATGTTAAAGTGTTTTGCATTTTGTTAATTTGTTTTTGTTAATGTTAAATTGTTTTATCCTTGGTAAAATTGTTTTATAAAATGTAAATTTGTTTTTAACTTTGTAAAAGTGTTTTGCATCTTGTTAATTTGTTTTCGTTAATGTTAAAGTTTTTTTCCTTGGTAAAAGTGTTTTTGCTAATATAATTTTAAATAAATAAATGGGTATGCAGTAGACGTATGCAATTTTAAGACTGTAATTTTCTAAAACGATTGTTAATTTTGNTTTTTTTTCCTTGGTAAAAGTGTTTTTGCTAATGTCATTTTGTTTTATAAAATGTAAATTTGTCTCAAGCTTTGTTAAAGTGTTTCCCACTTTGTAATTGTCCATTGCACTTCCCAGCCACCGTACTAAAGCGGCACGGCATCATTTAACAATTTGTGAGCGATTTTTCAAGTTGACCGTCTTTCTTGAACAATCCGAAGCGTTGCCAAACGTTTGATTTGTAGGTATTTTTCGGTGCGCTGTGTTTCTTTTTCTCCTCGACTTCCATGTGTGTTGATAACTGAGACTCTCGGCCTCCGTAGTGGCGAAGCAAATATCAAAGATCGTCTCTGCTAAGCGTTAACAAGATGAGGGGATTTTATATGAATGAATTGGTTTTTTACCGATGCAAAGACGCTACGCAATCGATGCATTGCGAGTTCAACCCAAACTGTAGCCGATGTGCACTCTTTCAACCGGTGCACTCGTATCTTGAACGTTTATGCCGGTGCATCGATGCAAATCGGTGAATCTTAAATTCTCTAATTTACATATGTGTGTGTGTCTGTGTATCTGTGTGTGTGTGTGTGTGTGTGTGTGTGTGTGTGTGTGTGTGCATCCCAGTCTCATGGCATTTCGTGTTATAGTCACAACATTAATTTAATCTATTGATTCGTGTTCACCAACACCATTTTTTTGGTGTCACACAGAACGATTTTAAAAGCAATGTATTTCTATTGGTAGTATGTTTCGTGCCTGCACCACGTCTTTTTGTCCGGTCGGGTCTTGGAAGACCAGAAGCTGTGTGGTTCATAAACCAATTTTATTACTAAATATCTTACCCTAAGCCTAACCCTTTTATTTTAAATTGTATAATGTCAGAAGAACCAGCACCTTACCGTGGTAGAGAGGTTTGTGTGCCCTGATGAACCTGGGGGCTGTGTTGTCTGGAACCTTGTGTTCCTGGTAGGGTCTCCCATGGCAAATTGGTCTCAGGCAAGGGGCCAGACTAAGATTGGTTCACAAGACCTCATGAAAGACGACACACGAAGTGAGGATACCCGGCCCGGAGGAAGCCCGGGGTCCTCTTCTGGAGCCAGGCCCAGAAGGAGGACTCGTCGGTGAGCATCTGGTGGCCGGGCTTGCCACGGAGCCCGGCCGGGCACAGCCCGAAAAGGCAACGTGGGCAACACCTCCGCTTCTCCGTCCCGCGGGCCCACCACCTCCGTAGGTGGTGGGCCCGCGGGACGGAGAAGCGGAGGTGTTGCCCACGTTGCCTTTTCGGGCTGTGCCCGGCCGGGCTCCGTGGCAAGCCCGGCCACCAGATGCNGTCCATGTAAACATTTATGGTATGTGCTTTTGATGATATTGGACTGTCAACCTATTTTATTTATTTTGTTGTATTAAATGTTGAAATGACCTACTGACTGTATTTTATTTTGTCTGAGATAGGAATGTCTCCTATTTTGTTATTGTTATGTCTATGTTTTGTGTCTGTAGCCTGTACAATAAATACAAAAAAAATGTACACAATTTAACAAAACGTTTCTTTTCATAATGTAAGCCATTGATGCACATTAGAAGTAGTTTATGGCAACACAACTGATGGGCACTGTGGGCAAACCTATAGTCTGCTGCTAGGCAGAATATTATTATGTTTTCCTTCTGATGATGTGCAGCCTAATGAGTGAGATTTTTTTAATCCTTGAAAGCCAACTTCAGGGGCCAGGAACTTTAACTTGTTTTGCTGAACAAGAGAGATTGAGAGAGTATTACTCACAGGTTGAGCAGTGGTAGAAAATGAAACACCCTCCAGGAGATGTGTTCCAGAGAGTTTGATGCCAGGTTCCTATGAAATAAAGAGAAAACACACATTTGTAATGCTGTTTATTTGGCTAAACAATATGTAATACAACAGTAATTCACCCTATGTTGTACCTTGTTCGCTTTGGCTGAATTGTGTGGCTTGATAGTTAGCATTAGAGGGAAAAGACCACCCGCAGAGATTAACGGAGGACCTTGGAATCGCATTTTTTAAATGTTATATTGTGTTTCGCATAATACCAAAGGAAAAATCCTTTCATCAATCAACAAATCTATTCTCAGCCTAAATGAAAGAAAAGTTAAAGTAGAAGTATTGTTTTTATTGTTTGTAATCTAGTCCTGTTCTGCAGTTGAGTCATGCGGTGATGTGATTGCTCACTTTTAGAGCAATGCTTACCTGCTTTGAATTACTCTCTCAGTGGAAAACGTTAATGCATCCAAATGGGTTCTGATCAATTACCTTGGCAAGTATTTCACACCAGCCAGAGCCACATGCACAAACACCTCCAGCACACCTCTCTCAGGGTTTGCTTAGTGTTCAGTAAATAAGGTGATTAGTCCAGAGTCACAAACACTTCTCGGAGGAAGGAGGAAGCTTGGCTACAGAATTGAAAATCTCAGTCGCTCCGTCCACCGCTTTGGTTCAGATAGAAATATCTCAAGGGCTTTTATGTGGATTAATATCAAGTTTTTGTTTTATCAACATTGATGGTCCCCAGAGAATGAATCGTCACGGTTTAGCTGATCCTCTGACTTTCCCTATAGCACCAATAATAGTGTAAATTATTAACTTTTAGTGAAATATCTTGACACCACTTGGGTGGATTGCCATTCAACCTTTAACAGACATTCATGATGTCCAGAGGATGCATCCTCATGGTTTATTTGATCCAGGGACATTTTGATATTGACATTTGTTGTTTTCACATGAAATATCTCATAAACTATTTTTTCTTACCTTGCTATCAAAAACACATTCCTTGCACTCAGGATAAATTGAAAAGACTTTGGTGATCCTCAAAATGTTCTTTTTGTGCCATAGTCAGGTCCTAATTTGTAGATGGTTTAGGACTAAATATCTGTAAAACTATTGTCTTTGTGATTAGCCAGTTGTAGTTATTGTTTTGTTTAGCTCATTTGCAAATGTTAGAAACCTAGCATGACAAACTAGGATGATACATTTTGTAAATAGTATAAAGATGTAACATTAGCATGTTAGCAATGGGGCCATCTTATCATGCTACAATGCTGTGCCACTAAGTACACTAATATGATGGGCTTTAGATAAACTTTCAAAACATTTCCATTTCTATTAATGTAATCATACCTCTAAAACTGTGTATGTCAGGCAATCATTATGATCCTGTGATAGATGAATGCTACTGTACATATCTTTTTGCCAATCCTCCGAGGGCACTAACATATCATCACAGTGGCTCTCAAATGATCCTCAGACAGCCAAAGAAGCCAGGCTGTAAATGAACCTCCCTCAGAAGAGGACAAATAGCCACACTGGGGAGTGCGCACATGGAAGCCAATACATATTCACTCTGGCAGGGCCAAGGGTTCAATTATTTGTTTTCCTTGCTCCCAAAAGTTCATGTCAGATGGGTTAGCCATTGGGGCTTATCCATTACCAGCTCGATTCCTGCCTGGGCCCACAGGGGGAGAGCAGAGCCGGGAACAGCAGCTCAATTTCTTTTTGCCATTCTTAAGGACTGGATTTTATAAAAGACAATTGAGTGTTGGAAGACTAGCGTAAAAAGAGAAAGGGACAGTGGTTAAAGCTAGCCTCCTACTTAGTTTGCTTATAGTCTGTCCCTCTTAATATCAGAAATACATCTGTCACGTAGAAGCCCCTGCACCCAACCCGGCCCACCCTCTACCTCCACAGTGAGGTATTGATTAAGTGATAATGGACCCTTAGTGGAGTGTATTTATTATGCATCAGTTGTCGATAATCCGCCAAAGTGAGCGAGTAAAAGGTGACTGGTGGATGTCTTCTCCAATTTCTCGAGCTCACCCCACCTACCTCACCTCCTCCACCACCCCCCCATATCTGGTCCTCGTAACCCGCCTGTCTTTTAGATAAACAACATCAGACATGTCGCACACGCTCAGTGAAACGATGAGGACAAGATGGTGGCGATAAGGGTCAGCTGCTGATGAATAGACAGAGGTGATTGTTCCAGTCGATAAGTCTTCATGGTAATATTTATTCTTGGGTCTGGATTGAGAGGCCAAACTAATCAGAAATGCAAAGACTGACCCAATCTACAGGGTGTGACTTTTAATAATAAGTGACAAGTTTGTTTAAAATACCAAGCTGATTGCTTTTTGTTTGTTTTTCAGATGATTGATAAACAAGCAGGTAGTGAATCTTGAATCTATATTTACAAACAAAAGTGACATGATTTCATGATACAACATGTGGAAGAGTTCAAAAATCGATTTATTGCCTGGAAAACTGAGAACACATCCACATCCACCTTTTACTTTTGGCTAAAAATGAATATTAATTAGCAAATAATCTGCACTATTCTGTTGGAATGTTTTTCGATATATCAATGAGAGATTTCTCTATGATGTATATTAAAGTATTGCAAAATGCTGATCTCAATCCCCCAAAGCTCAAGAAGACGTCTTCAAATTGACAATTTTGTCCATAACCTCATAATATTCGATTATTAAAAACCAATTTATGAGAAACTGAAACCAACTCTGAAGTACACTAATTCACCTTCCTTTAATTCATAATGGGATCCAATGTCACAAAAAACATGTTACAGTATATTTATAAAAACATAATCAATCCAAAAGGCTTCAAATAGATGGAATTGGTGGTTTAAGTATCTTAAATGATCAACAGATTTACCAGATCGCTGGATGAGTAATACAACTATTAGAGCAAGTGTGATTTTGAGAACTGTTCCTCTCGCTTAATCTGACGTGCAATATTAAAGGACTGGCTGAACACTGACTGACAGCGACAAATAGGCTGACCCACATACAGGTCACAACATGACACAGGGAAGACAATCCTTTTGTATTGACGAGGACACTTACACATACTGCAGCTTGAGGTTGAATTGGAAGGCATTGATAGAGATGAGCCTCAGCTTACATGATGTGACCGTGCTGGAGGGGGAGGAAAAGCACAATGATCAGTGAAACACTCTTTGTTTTAGCAAACACAACACATTACAACTCAGAAATACTGAAATGTGTGTGTGAGAAATAAAAGCAGGAGTTGCATTATAGTCATATTCGATAAATCTGCCAACATTTTCTTTTAGTTTTTGGTTAAAAAACTCCCAATTGAGAGACCGAAATCTGTGAATTTCTGGTATTTCTACTTTAAAAAAGGGCTCTGGTCAAGGCCGTTTGGTTCTACTAAGGGAAACACTCATTTCCACAGCGTGCAATGATATTTTGGACAATATGCTCGCAACTTTTTGGAGACCCCTAAACCCCTCCCGCAAGACTGTTAGCTTACCATCCAAACTGTTACTAGGCATTGAAAGGCAAGGTTTGGAAATCGCAACATGTTGAAGCGGTGTGTATGATAAAAAGTTTTGGGGGGTGTTTTAGCCTTTCCATAACCATACAGTCTAAGGAGTAAATTAAACTACGGATTTAACCGCTGTAGCATTTTTCTACCTCTGCCTGATATTAGGGAGCCATTCATCTTGGATTGGCTATCAGTCTGACGATGATTTTGCATTTGTATGAGGATATCTGTTTTACAAGAATAACAAAAAGCTATATTGGTGCCCGACAAAAACGGATGGGTTTCCGACATTGTATAATGGCAAATGCGTTACTTGTCTTTGCCCACTCTACTAGTGAAGAGTACAAATGGAAACCAAAATCAATCAATCAATCAATCAATGTTTATTTATATAGCCCAATATCACAAATGTCACATTTGTCTTTGTGGACTTCACAGTTTGTACAGAATATCAGTATGACAATACGATACCCTCTGTCCTTAGACCCTCACATCGTACAAGGAAAAACTTCAGGAGAAAACCCCACAGTATAAAGCGGAAAATGGGAGAAACCTCAGGGAGAGCAACAGAGGAGGGATCCCTCTCCCAGGACGGACAGACGTGCAATAGATGCCGTGTGTAAATTGAAAAGATAATACATTTACAACATAGGTAGACCAAATGTTTGGAAATGCATGTGTGTATAATAGGAAGATGAATCAACGAGGATATCCATCCAGGACCAAAATGCTTGCAAATACCAACATTTGTCCCGTCCTAGCGATCCAGCAAAATTCTTTACAACTTGCCTCTTAAGGCTTCTTGCTGGTCTGCCTAACAACAGCAACTTGAGGTTCAGTCTCTTGCTCATGGAGCCTTGTACATGAGGATATATGAAGGATAATGAACTACCAATCTTGTGAACAAAGGACGACCCACTCTACCTCCTGAGCCACAGCCTCCACAAATCTTTGTTCTCAGTATGGTATATCAAACAATATTGTGATAGTATAAAACATAAACTCATGACCATGTGTCTTTGTCTTACAGAAAACGGTCTTAGTTAAGAGAAAATGAAATACTTACAGGTTTTTCAGCTCTCTGTAGTAAGCAAGATCAATCTCTGTTATATTCTCCAGGGCGTCTTGGTTTTCAATGTAACTGGTGCGCAAAAAAGGAGTGGAAAAGAGAGAGAGAGTTACAAGGCAAATACATCAAAAATGTCTGAGACCTTCAGCCTTTTGTTATCTAGATAATCAATTAATACCAAACTACATGAAAATAATAGACAGAAAAGAAACCACTTGAAAAAAAAATACAAAAATAAAACGTGAATGATTGTCTTCACCAGGGACATGCAAAGTTAATCATAATTTGTGTTTATCATTCAGGGCATTTCAACCAACCAATTAAAGGGGACAATAAAATACTAATTTGACATTTCTATCAGGCAGTTATGCAGCCAGAACTACAAAAAGGTTGTGCATATTTTAGACAAAGAACACAAAGAAATGCTTATTGAAGATGACATTTAAGACTCAACACTGAAAGCAACCAAGAGGATAAACTTGAAGTTGAGTCTCCTGTGTAACATTTGTCTCAATAATGACTAAGTAATTACAGAACCCATTAATGTATCTGTTTAAAGACATTATTAGTGAGAGCTGGGAGAAAAGCTCTCACAGATGGGAAAAAACCCATTGGACTTCAACCCCAATGACACGTCTGACCTCCCTGAGATCCACTGAACAAACAGATAACAAAACAAGCCGTAATGTCCAGGGACCCACGAACCACAAAGCTATAAGAAGTTAATCTAGTGCTCATGTGGAAAAAGAATAATGCCTTAAGAGATGCCGGGTAGACAAGGCTGATGGGAAAGTCTTCTCAATGAGTAATTTTCCACTTTTCCAGACATAGCCTTCCTCCGAATAACTAGTGAGCTGTAGATCAATTCAGCACTCAACACAAGGCCAGCCATCTCTTTTCATGGGATGTTGAATAGATGGCTTGATCGGACCTAAAAAGGATTTTGCAAACTGTCCACCATTTTCTCTGCGTCATCCATGTATCTCAGGAGGACTCTCAATGTATCAATGTGAATGTGTTAAGAAAGCCCTCTCATGAACATTTGATAAAATCCTTGGGGCAGCGTTCCTTTGAAAATTAAGTGAACCAGATAATTGCAATAAAAAGGATTAACAAAAATATTACTATTTTCAGGAGACTGGAGAGGAGAGGATATTTGAGAAAGTATTATATTAAATGATGAGTATATTCAATAGTATTATGTGCACCAAGCACTTTAAGGTTAGTTTGTTGTAATCTAAACTGAAGGGGAAATGTAAGGCTATTTCATTAATGCACAAACCGATTAAAAAATAAAATATATATGTCTATGATTTTTTTTGCCAGATATGTTGCCTTTATGAATTCCTCTACCTCTTCAAACATTGACGCCTACATTGCCCAAACTGCAAATTGACAGGTTAAAGTTTTGTTGGCAATTCACATGTATTATTCTAATAGAATGTTGTATATCAGAGTATTTCATGTTATAAAGACAAAAGATTTAAAACCAACTTTTTAGTTAAATAATGGTGAAATATTGGCTTTAAAGTAGCCTCATTGTAATTGGACAGAATGAGTTAAAGAAGGCGGACCTTTTTTTAGAAGGTCATTTTACATAATAGGGCTACAATTGTAATAAAAGCATAAAATGTTGCTCCTAATATGCTGCTAGTACGACAGATCTATTTACAGTATGATTATCAGTTTATAGTTCTCTGTGAAATACTATTTGCAAGAATAACTAATGCTGTGCTAAAATGTAGTCAATAGTGAAGTATTTTCCTCTGAAATGTATTAGGTAAAATAATTAGGTGGCTAGGAAGAATACATAGACGTATGGGGGCACCCCTTTGTCATACAGTACTGCAATTACTTGAATAAAGATTTGTTCATGGTTTTATAGTGTTCAATGCATATGCCAAAAAATACCTGCAGTCATTTCTAGTTGATGACAGCCACTTTCAGCATGTGGCGTTGTTTCAACCTCCCAGTTTGTCGGCTGCAACACACAAACCTTTTTATTCCTGTGTGATTGACCCACAGCAATAATGTGATTACAGGGCAGGTGGGCCCAGGATTACCCATCGCCGTTACTTATTGGATTGAGCCAAGTGGGTTGTATATCATCTATTGTTCCCGGGTGGAGGCATTGACTGGCAATTCACAAAATTGAATTTATAACTCAGCGCATGATGAATTTTGGCCCCTGTTCCACAGTTAATGGCCCCTTGTTTGTTGCGCGTATCGGCTGTATTGCCTTGCGCTGCCAATACAGAGAAGTGTTGTTGTTTGCTGGCATGTAGAGCACCGCGGTAAACAGAAGCCGCTTACTTATTGATTGAACGGTTTAGAGAGAATGTCGAGCCTCACCCTGAGCTCTACGAAACATGTTTAGCTGCAGGTACAAGGAAATACCTCTGAGATGAGAGAGAGAGGAGAGGAAACAAGAGGTGGAGGAGAAAGAGGGGGAGGAAAAGAGGAGAAGTATGGCATATCGTTGAATAGAGGCAGAAAGCAGCAGTAAATTGACTTGCTCCAGCGAAATAGCATTTCACAAATGTAGTTCCTTCTTAACAAGTGCTAATTGCTCCGATCTGGGGACAGGAACAAAGAGAGAACAGCGTGGTGGTGAGGAGAGTGACATTTACTTTTCCATATAGGAACTGATGGTGGGTTGCATAATAATACAGCAGCCGTCTTTAAATCACAGGTGGTCAGATTCTAGTACCTTTTTCATACAAAGTTTTGAAAAGCGAAATAACAGTCATCTGCAGCTGTAGCCGAGTGAGAAATATCAGTTCATCTGAGCACTAACTTGAGTTTTATTCAAACAGATCCAGAGAGTGCCTTTCCATAAATATGTGACAATCAAAAGTGTGGCATGTATGGCTGTGAAGAACAACGTACATCAAACTATCCTCCAGCATCAAGTGACCATCACAAGCCTTCTTCTCTTGAGCACCAGATGAACCACAGCGAAGGAACATGAATTAGGTCAGAACAACCTCGACCCAGGTCAGCAGATCTTTCATCAGAAGTGGAATGTACATTTGAGCCTTACAAATTGATAAAATACTGTCTACAACCAATCATATCTCAGATTAAAGCTTGCTGGTCTCTACCGTGGATAAAAGCATGGCGGTAAATGTACATGAAGTAAGTGATGTGATCTCCAGAACATCGTACACGTGTTTCTTGTCCTGTGGTAGACTTTGGGACTGTGATTTGATAACACTAACTTTTAATCTTCATATAAATATAAAAATATGTTTTCTCTGCACAGTTTTTCAGTGTTACACTTTTAATAAATGTAAAGATGCTTTGAAGAATGTATTTGAAGTACATTGTGTCAGAAACAAACAGCAGGAAGGTTCAAACTGAAGTCAGTTTATTGAACTCCAATAACATGGTGATGTACTGAATGCATACTCTTTGAAATTAGTTTTAATGAAAGAAGAGTCAGATCGTGAACTCAAATAAACATGCAGCTCTCATAACATAAAAAAGCACTTGTGAAGTTTTCCACAATACTGCAAAAGTCACAAGCACTAGGATTCTTTAAAGACCCCCGAGGCCAGATTTTGAGGCACAATGGATAATAGGACATCAGTTCCCGTCACTCTGTGCCAGTTATTGTCAGTAGCAATCCATAATTGATTTCCAATTACTAGTGTCCAAATTACTGCCATGCTAATGCATCTCAAACAGCAGTACATTTACTTCATCAATCAGTCTCTGGATTTGGCAAAGAACAAACTCTCTCTACTCTCAACAGAGCAAAAATCTGACTCCAACAACAAGTAATACGTAACGCCTTGCATATCGCCCAGTGTGATCTCGAGGTACTAATATTTGGCTCTTGTACTTGGTTAGAAATTGTAATCGTCTCTGAGCTGAATACAAATGGCAAACACTGCAAAGAACAGACTCTTCTCAAGATATGAAACAGACCAAATAATGTAGCAAATAAAAATGACTAATGAGAATAAAACGAATACCTACAAAGTAAACCATCAACCATTAGCATGCAGAGAAGCGATTGTTAGTCTCAGTCGTAGCATTAGAGAGCAACTTTATTGCACAAACTTGAATGATATAGTCAGTGTTACACCTGCATTTATATTACTCAATCCAAAAGCTAACCAATGACTGTAGAGAAAAGTATTAGATAACTATATTTGAACACCTGGACTAGATAACAAACAATGATACAACAACAAGAATTACCAGCAAATATTGCCCTCTACTAGAACTGCAGATAAGATATTACACCAGTTGCAGATGGTCCCATAAAAAACAAAGCTCTGCCATTGAGACACTCAAAACAATGTCAGCGCCAACCCAGAGTGACAACATGAGTACAAACAGAGAAAATCCAGCTTGGCAAACCAACAATATCAAGGCAGCTCATGCTTATTTAGAGGCACATGCAGCGCAGGTGGCACATCATACTCACATCTCCGTCACATTCTCACTCTCTTGTGTTGCCAGTGCCGGGATGCTGGTGATACCATTGGGCTCCAGACACTGCAGCATGGCGAAGGAGCACCTGCAAGCCGCCGGGCAACCTCCCAAAGCGGGCGCCGGTGCCAGGCTGAGCAGGGCGAACACCAGGGGAAGTGCCAGGGCATAGGGTGCCACAGCCATGCTCAAAGAGGATCTTCTCAGCCCCAGAGAAGAGCTTTGGCAGCTGTAGTTGGAGTCAGTGTCTGTGTGTTTCACCTAATGAAGAGTCAGCGAAGAGAGATCAGGAGCTTTCACACACTGAGGCTCTTCTCTTGGCTCTCTGGCAGAGTGGAAATCCCAGCTGCTCAGGGTCTGGTGCTGAGCCACAGCTGTACTGAGCAGCAGGAGGGGCAGGCAGTCAGGCAGGCAGGCAGGCAGGCAGGCAAGGGGCCTCTGGGGACATGGTGGTAGTGGGCTGCAGCCTCTCTCTTTCTCCCTCTCTCCTCCACCATGAAGGGAGGGGCAAGATAACAGGGGCCAGAGTCACTAGACACCTCCGAAAGAGAAAGGGGGATAAGGGAGGGGTAGGGGTTAAGGGTGTGTGTTGATGATGATGAGAGGAGGAGATGGGATATGGTGATGGAGATCTCATCTGCCCCCCCTGGGTGAGAGGTCTGCTGTCCTGCCAGCAGCTCGAGGTGCAAACAGAGCCAAGAAGTCAGGGCTCTTGGGTGCCTGGAAGCATGCAGCGGCACTCTCACACAGACACAACTGTAGAAACATCTTGCTGGATGAATGGATGGATGTTTCTCTACTTATAATTGATTGTTGAGATTTAGGAGGTCAGTGATGAATGTAATGACTGTGGGAAGTGGTTAGGGGTTAGGAGACATTGTATCTACAATAAGCTGTTTCGTAACAGTGTGAACTCCCAGCAGAATTTAATAATAGGAAATGAAAGTAAGAGACTACACGTCTCCAATGCGTTTTTTTTCCTCCATAGAGTAAAGTGTTGCACTTCGCTTAGTGTGATCCTAAAAAGGGAAATAAGCATTGCACTTTCACTCATTTTACCTGATACGAACAACAGACTGAGGAAAACTCTCCAATACTTTGCTCTGGAGCTTCAGTATTATCTCTAGCTATATAACACTTGACAAACCCTAAGTGGTTTTTCAAATATAATAATTTATTTAATTTTAAAGGTTCCTCTGAAAACTGCGTCAGCATGATTTTGAAATTACATAAAGTTACCGAATCAAAGCAGCTCACTCAACCTCTTTTGTTTCATAAGCTGCCACTAACATTACACAGCCAAATCTTTGACTTAACTGTCATTGAGTGGTCATTGTCTTTGAGTTCTTTAAAGTCAAAAGGGATGTTTTAGTGTATTTAGCTTCTGTAATAAAACTAGAATACAGTTGTAGAGTTCAGGTTCTATAAAAGTTGTGAAAGAGATGTCCCCGATGTCACCGATGTCCCCAACTGGTAGACAAATACTTAAAACTATTTACAGTAAAAACCCTAAATGTTGTTAGTCAATCTGCTTTGTTTTTTTATTCTTTCACCTCTTTTATTTAAATATAATCATATCATTGTCGATTGCGATCAATCAATGTAATTAATCAACACTAGCAACAATGTAACCATTAAACCATTACACTCGTCCATAGACTGTATATATAAAGCACCCATCGCACAAATAATCACACAAACAGATTTTGAAAATGTATCTAATTTGAGGTTGCATCAATTTAAAATGCTTGTTTTGTCCCAAAGACCGTCCTAACTTAAGAAGCAACAAATCCAACACATTTGAGCAGATGTGAAAAATTGTTGAACGATTCAGGAGGCCTTATGTGCTCTCCCAAAGAAAAGGTCAGATAAAGAAGTTAAAAGTCAACCAATAACAAAGGACCCCATGAAGTCTGTGTGAAATGGCTGAATAGGGAAATGAAAGTTGGTGGGAAGTGCAGACGATGAGAAGACTAAATAGTTGCGTGAGAAATTGGGAAGTGGTTCGACCAAAACAGGAGGCTTGATTAATAAATCATCAAATCATTGGGTTATTGAATGAGACTTTCTGGAGGTATGATTGGAAGTAATGGAATTTACTAAAAGGGAAATGAAAGGTCACGTAGCCTCTGTGGTAAAAGCCGATCACTGCCCTTGGTTGGTTTTCATTACTAACCGCCGATAACCAAAAAAAATGTGTGAAGTCGCCTCGATTTTTTTGGGTAACAAAAAAATGAATACATTTGAATGTACTCTCATTGAAAAATGCATCCTGGATATTAACAGGAACCATAGTGGGAGGCCTTATTCTTCCGCATCCAGGGAGGTTTTAAGTAGAAGAGCTATAAGAAACATAGGAAAGGGATAGCATTTTCTAATTTGATGAATGGTTCTGTAAGATTGCCTTCATGACATTCAAATGGTATTACAGATGTACTGCTGTAAGCTTCTGCATTCCTCATGTAAGTACACTATCTGCATTTTAAGTAAGACGTTCTTCATATTCATTATAATCTGTTCAAGGGTTTCTTTAAAGCTTCACATTGCCTCTCTTTACATCTGTAAAAGGTGGTGTGTAGACTCTAAAAGTTATATTTCTCTAGCACTAGAAGTATACTTGCAGCTGTAATGATAAAAACCTTAACAATTAAGGAAGGATACTGTCATTAACCTATATGTAATCACATATTATCTCTAAGTCAGGCCACTAAGGGTGCTTGTGGGAATGCTGTCCATCATACATATATGTTCTTTACATGAGCGGAGCCGTTTCGACCCATGGGACAAATATTGTGCCCCACCCCCATTGCTCTTAGTCCCTCTTCACATGAGTAAGGTCATAGTGTCCTGACCACAATTACTGGCCATAAGCTGAATGGACATTTTTGCTGCCGTCGTCAGGATTATCTGGTGGCTTAATTACTCTTCCTTCTACGCCCCCTTTTTCTTGGTCCTAGCTCAGCAAATAGTGTAGAGGGACAAGGAGCTGTGTTTGAGAGCTCAGACAGAAGAAACACAAAACGAAACGAGAAGCATTTCAACAACATAATGAAATGTAACCTGCTTGAAATGTATGTTCTCGGCACAGATTGTACAATAGTTGTCCAGGGTTATAAGGCACTTAACTGTAAATACTGCATAGGCTTACAGATTATTACAAGTGGTTTCATTTCAAGTTTGCAAGTCTGGAACCATGACTCTAGGCATGAGTGTCTCCATTGTGCACAGATAGGAGTTGCACACTTGTAGCATATGCTAACTATTGAGAGTCAATCGCAGACATTTCAAACACCCCATTATATTGTTAATACTTGCTTAAATCTTTGTGTTTGTCTTTTCTAATATATAGGTTTTTTCCCCTCCAGTTTTCCCACTGTGAAGTTGCCTGCCTTTTACCTGAATAAGACACAGACTTGAATCAATTGATTTTACTTTTCAGAAAAACTACAGCGCAATAATTTTTTATAAGGAGTATCACATCACAAATCTGCAGGTAGGAGGGAAACATAATAAGTCCTGATAAAACAATAACAAATTAGAGTTATTCTACAAATTACAAGTAACCTACACGTTTCGACCAGACACATCATCAATCAGCATCCTCCGGAGGGGCCTTGTTAACTTTATAAAGTTAGACAACTAGAATAAAACACCCATTTAAATAAGCCTCTTCTAAACAATGGGTGATTATGAGACATCATGAGAAGAGTTTAATTCAGTGAGACATCCAACAGCCTGTTTTTAGATGATGATACACAACAGGAAACTAAAAAGTGCTGTTGTTTAAGTACACAACATTTTTGAGGGAGAAAACCTTCATGTATTTTGGTGAGTATAACTTTATGTGGTCTTGAAGCACACTACTTGTCGACTCC